TATTTTCCCTTTTTTTAAATTATCTCATCACTACTTTTGTGTTAATTTTTTTCCTTTCTCATAATCAGCCTGCTTTAAAGTTCAAAGTTTAAAGGCTAACAAAGTGCGGGAGTTGATCACTAGCCCTCTCTCTTTCGCACGGCCCTCCCTCTCTCTATCGCACTCACCGATCGCATGCCATTCGCCTGCTGTGCGCGTGCGCAGTGCCCAGGCTTCTCTTTTTTTTTGCGCTTTTTTTATAATTTTTTTTGCGCGAAAAACGGCAGCCAACTGCCCACACTTTGTTGGTGTTGCACCTCTGGGTTACCTGTTACCTGGTACCTGTTACCTGTGTTTTTCCTCCAACAACTCGAAGAAGACATCACAGCTTGATATTCATTCATGAATAGGAGAACACTTGAATTTTGATTCCCCAAGAAAATGTATTTTTTTAAGGTTTTAATCGTTTGACTTTTATGACTTGTTTTGTCTCTTGCATCTTGATTGATTTGTGTTTAAATTTTATTTTATTTTGTATCTTTTTTGTTCAAAAAACCATAAAACTCAAGCCCTAAATTGATTCGAATTTAAATGCTGTAGATGATGGGCTTTAAAAAAAAAAAAACCAAGATAACTTTAATCATAAATTATTTCAAGATTCCCTGGTAATCTTTATTCGAAAGAAAAAAAATAATATAATATACTTTAATAACATTGTGATACATTCCAGAAAGTAAATTAGCAAAAACCAACCAAGTTCATAAAAATATTTTCTTGTTTCAGTAAATCAGTAAAAAAAAAAAAACAGGAAGAACATAAACAAAATTTGTTTGGAATGTGCCTGCCATACAGCCAGCGGATAAAAAAGTTCATTCATTTTGTTTTTTCCTCTTCTCGTCGTGTTCATGTATTTTTTTGTGTTTTTCTCATCTAATGTTTGGTGTTATTTTCATAAGCATAAGCATATTTCTAATTTGATGTATAAAACACAGTAATAACAACAAAAGCCAACAACTGCAGACACGTGTAAAAATTGTTGGCTTGTTAATATTATTTTTTTTTGTTGTTTTCTTTGTTTTTGTGCCCGCTGTCATGTTTTCTGTCTGTGGCAGAAACTTTCACTTGATTTGGCATTTTTGTGGCGCCCGAGTAATTTCCACCACTCGGACCTACCCAACCTCCAATCCCGAACATGGGAAACAAGACACAGGCGCCATGGAGGAAAAGAAAAAAAAAATAATAACAAAAATATGCAATAAACACTGGTCACTCACTAGACAGGCTAAATATCTACCAACAAAAAAAAATATGCAGCTACAAAAACAAAAACATTAATGGTAAAAAATTAGTAGAAAATGTTATTAAAGTATGTTGGTGTTATGATGGGAAAATATTTTCCTTTTTTAATAATTAGTAGGTGTTTAACAAAAACCTAGAGTCTATTAACAATAAGTTATGATTTTGAATTTTATGATGATTTTTATAGAAGTTTAATGAAATATTATAAGCAGGGTTGCCACTTCTGAAACTTTTTTTTTAAGCTAAATGGGTTCTGTTGCCTGAAACTTGTACTTATAATCTGTATTACTATTGAAACTTTTGTTTATATTAAAGCAGTTTTAGTTGAAACCCAAGTAATAGATTTTTTTTTTAAGACCAAAATACTGCAATACTATGCACTAGTTTTATATATAATAGCTATCAATATATACATTATTTTATTAAAGTTTTAAATCGAAGAAAATGCTTCCTTCAAGCCTTCGGAAGACTTTTCTTATTTATTATCTATAAATCTCTAATCGGTATTATATATCCTTGTATATATCCCTTTTTTATCCTATTATCCTACAAATTCTAATAATAAAACCTATAATCAATAATCTGTTGTCTATACATCTCTAATCTATATATGGTATACTTCCTTATTATAATTTTTATCCCTCAACCATTATACCTCCTTCTTACCCTATAATTCACCACAAAACTCCCATTTTTTTCTATTCAAAGATAAAGTGAAATCTGATAAATTAAAGCTTAACAAATTTGCAACGAATATTGCATGGTTTTTGTATTATTTTCGTTTTTGTTTTTTTTTTTTTGGGAAACGCGTGGCTTGGAAAACAGCAACACTCCATTAGTGTGGAAAATTGTGAAAAACAGTACAGTATATACAGTATAACCCCACTCCTGCCCACACCACCAACGCCCAATAGATCACACAAGGACGTTGCGTAGGCGACAAATAAAAATGAGGCGTCGGCGGGGGTGTTGCCATAGGATGTGAATTTTTGGTTGGAAATTCTGGAGGAGAGCGTCAGAATTTTATGGCCATTTGGACCATAAAAATTGCTGTTACAAACAACAGAAACGCATTTGTTGGTACCGCTCTACAAACACAATCACACACACACACAGATCACATTCATGAAGACAGGCCCAGGCCCACCCCCTTTTTTAGAGGCTGCAGCGGCGCCTCTTTTATGTCAAAGTCAAAGGCCAAAAGGCGAGCACATAAAAACGGAGCGAGATGCAAGATAGACAAAGTGCCAGCAGCGAGGGTGGCTTCTAAAATTTGGGATTAGGAAATTTTAGAATTTCAAAAAAAAATGTTAAAGGATATTAGAATAGTTTTTAAAGAAGACTAAGATTTTAAGTAAACTAACATTTTTGGAAAATTTTCAATATTTTTTTGCTAAATTTCCAAGGCTAATGGTAGCATACAATTTTAAATAATTATAATTTAAAAGTTGATGACTTGTTGCCTATTTTATTCTCTATAGATCATTTTATTTTATTTTATGGTCTAAATTTTTTGTAACAACATAGCATCTTTATTTCGAAAAAACTTCTATATCACCCCTCGCTGCCAGACTCTTTCCTGAGATAGTCAATCACAAAACACAAATTCGATTAAGTTGTTTAAAAACAATTTTTATTTATTACCCACGCATTTTATTCGTTCCTTGATGGTGTGTTTGTTGCTGTTGTGGTTTCTTATCGATGCTGCCAGCACCATCCCATCCCATCCCAGCACCCCACAAACTCGTCCCAAGGATTTAAAGAATTCTTCTTTTCAAAAAAAAAAAACTCCAAACGGAAATGCAAAGTAAAGTGTATTTCTTTTTTTTTCGTCTTCATTATTTTGTAAATTAGTGGACCGCCCGGGAATGTTTGATAAAAAGCTGTGATAATTGAGGGAAAATAAAGGAAAAATCGAGGAAAAACTATGGAGTGAGAAATAGTGGATTGGTGGAATGGTAAATTGGTATCAGGATGGATGACAATGGCACGCTAACTCAGGTAGCTAATCTAAGTGGCCCCGAAATCAAATAAAACAAGAACCACACAAAAAAAAACACATGGAAAGGAAAACCCGATGGAAAATAGAAACTACTTAGCATATCAATTTAGACCACAGAAGAAAACAAAACAGGAAAAAAAAACCTACAAACTGAACCCAAAAATGTCACTCAGGATACACACATCTAGGGTTGGGGGGTTGTAGCGATAGTTTTCTTCCGAAAATGCCGAAAATAATGCCAGTCAGACAAATTACCCCGAAGGGTCATTCAGGCATTCAGGATTCTCTGCTCTATAAAATCCTAATTGACGACCCCGGCAAAGAATAGATATACATTTTGTATTGAAACTGTAACTAAATCCTGTAGCGAATTTTTTCCGGGGGTGGCACAAGACACCATACACCGTGCCCGGGCCTATAATGGCAAAAATTCAATGCCAAAGGTCAGTTGTTGGACGCATATATGTATATATTTATAAATCGGATAAATAATCTAGAGGGTGTGGAGGTTCTAAATAAATCTCTAATTTCTGGGGGGGTAGAAAAGGTCCACTGAGCAGGGGGTAGTCGTGGTAGGGTAGTAGGGTATTATAATCCCAAAAGTAATTGATGAAAAGTGTGATATTGGATAGTTGGGAAAAATGTGACAAGCTGGCTTTATTTTCAGTTTTAATTGGATTTAATTAATGGAGAGGAAAATATTAGACAGTATGCTCTTTTATTCCATGATAGAGGTTCGAGTTCGAAACTAATTTGAGGATTATCAAAATAATATTTTTTTCACTATTTTTTTCTATGAAAATTCCTGGATTTTCCCTTATTTTCTCTATAAAAACCCCTCTCTTTCAAGTTAGAAACTAATTTCATAGAAAAAATTATATTTTTTCACTAGTTTCCCTTATAAAAATCCCAAAAAGACTTCCTTTTAACTTTAGAACCTAAAATAAACCCCAAAACTAGTAACATTTATATTTATTACTGTACTCTCTAACAACATTTATCACAACCTTAAGGACCAACAGACCGATAAGAATAGGATTTTCTTGGATAGCCAACAGAAAAGCTGGCTAAATAAAAAAAAAAAAAGCCGCCCAAAAAAGGACACTCACCCAATCAAGAAGACATGGAAGTCCTAAAGGGAAAAACTGATGGCCATCATCTAAGGCCCTCAGGAAAAAGATGGATTCGTAATGAAAATCCAAATCGTAGCACAGTGCATTCATTACATTTTTGTGCCGACTCATCGAATCATCGGCTCCAGCTCCAGCTCCAGCTCTAGCTCCGGAAAGGGCCAACAACAAAAGAGGTGAGTGGTGGAGGAGGAGGTGGCATGTGGCAGGAAGTTTTTGGGCCCTCGGCTGGCTTAGTTTCCTTTTTCCGGCTTCAAGTGTGCCTCTTGCTTCTTGCCACTTGCCACTTAACAACAAATGCGAATCATTTTAAATTACCCGACCCCAAAATAAAAAAAAAATACAGAAAATACAAAAGGATTCGCATGTGGGATTCCCGAAAAAAAAGGTCGCACTTTTGGGGCGGAAAGGACTGTGTCTAATTTATCTGATCTGGATATGATTTAAATGCAAAAAAAAATAAAAAAGGTATTTATAAAGAAGATAGTTGACTTTTTAGGGGGAGAGTTGTAGTAGTTTGATACTTTTTGTGGCACTAACTATTGGTTTTAGTTTAAAGTTTTAAAAGAGTATTTTTCAAACTAGCTTACCAGTTGTATTTTATTTTTTTGGAATTCTTCGTTTGCTTTCATTTTTTTGTAAGATCTGTAAGAAAATAGATTTTAAATTTATTGTTTATTTCTTTATTTAATTATGGAATATTATTTAATGATTTGGTTTTAGAGCATAATATAATAGAATTCTTAGGATCTTAGGATCAAGGATTCTAGGAAGGCATTCTGCTTTAGAATCAAATGGGTTGTAGCCAAGATAATAATATAATAATAATTATATTCACTTTCTGGGACTTTTTCTAATTTTTTCCTAAAAATTTGATAAACTTTTTACAGCAAGGAATCTTGGAATAGTTCATGTATAAGACCATTATTCTTAAAAGTACATTTATTCCATTATAAATATCTTCCATCTTATTCCAAGTTCTACAAATTTAATTTTATAATCTTTATTTTATTTTATGTTTTTTTTTTTCGTGAAATCTCCATAAAATAATGCATTGTTTTTTTGGCCAAAAAAAAACAAAGCTTGACTTATTTTGAATTTAGGTCATTTCTCGCATTTGCAATTAGAGTAGAAAGTCCGGCGAGTGAATGTCCAACTCCCAAGGCAAGGTCTTTTAATATCATTTTATTCGCTTTTTTTGCGTTTCATGGGTTTCTTTTCTTTGTCTTTTGTTGCTGCTCGCCTGGCAGTGCAATTAAAACAATTTGCAATGTTATAATTAAACATTTGCCTCACTCTCGACCATGTCAAACAAAAAGCTGACAGCACACAGCACACACCACATGCAACTTACCATTTTGCTAGTTTTTTTTTGTACTATTTTTTTTTTTCTTCATTTTTTTTTTTTTGCCACATCAATTTCTAGAGTGGCCGCAGGCTAAAGTCTCGACTTCTCTGGCCAGTTTCTTGAGATGGTGGACATACGGACACTGGATGGATTTTTCGAGTGACCTTTTGCATTAATTGTCCAATAACCACCAATGACCAATGCCAGACCCCAAAACCAAAAACCCAACGAGTTTCCACTTCACAAAAACAACAAAAATAGATGTATATTTTTGCATTCGATTTCAATTTCGATTTCGTGATTCGTGTCGTGTGGGCGTTGATTTTTCCTATGTCTTGTTTCGAGTTCGAGCGGCATTTTATATGTAGATATTTCTTTTAAATAATCTCGGCCTCTGGAAATCCGACTGGACATAATTTTTCATTTGGCGCTCTGGCAAAATGTTAATAGTTGACGCCAAATGAATGGCCATACAGACGGGTGGGAAAAATGGACGAGTGCTTTAAAGGGGGTTTTTATTTTAAAGATATCGATTAGTTCCTAAACCATAACTTTCTTTCCAAAATTTTTAAATAATATTTTTGGAAAGATTCCCCCTTTTGAGACGCCACTGCCCCCCATCAACTAAATGCAGGGAAAAAGCGATCTATCTAACGTTCGGAGCCAGAGTTCGGACTCTGACTGGCATTTGTTTGGGCGTTTCAATATTTTTCTTGTGCCAAGCCGGCTGTAGTTTATGTAAAAATTAAAATAAAAAAATTTACATAAATTACAACAAAAGCAGACGCAATGTGTGCTCAGACAGACAGAGACCGAGTCAGACTGTAGAAGAGAGATGGAGAGATCTCTGGCCAGACGCCAGACAGGGGGAATATGAATTTTTATTATTTTTTTTTTTTTTCTCATTTTTTTGAGGCGCCAAAGCAATCGACTGAATAATAATCAATATAATAATGGGCCGCGGCTAAACAGCAACCAATAAGCTTCTGATTTGTGTGAAGTTTCAGCATTCAGGTCCGAATCTGTGCCCCTTATGCAAATTCATTGCCAATAATCGTAAATAATGAGACCACGAGCAGATCGGATTTGGCTCAGATCGGTTGGATTCGAGATCGCAAAGAGATCCGGGGAGTATTGGCCTTATTTCTGTTCAAAAGTTGCTTCATTTAATTTGCCTTTTTGATTCTTTTTCTTTTCTTTTCATTCTTTTCATTGGTTTTGATTTTTGTTTTGCTTTTGGTATTTCATACTCCATCTCCATCTCCGTCTCCTTCTCATTTTTCTTCAAGAAGCCTTCTCCGGTGATTGTGTGTAGAATATCAATTACTTATGCTAAACACCTGCTGCATCGGAATGTCTGGCGGGCAGCAGTGGCAGCACTGCATCGAGTTCTTCTAAACCGGGCCTAAATAGTCACTGCCAACACAATTACACAGAGCAGAGGGGGCACCAGCCCCAGCCCCAGCCGCAGCCGCAGCAGCAGCGAGTTTGTGCCTTAAGTCTTTCGTTATTTCTCCTTCTTGGCCAGTTTTTTTTTTTAATGGCCTTGCCAGCTTTTTTGGCCAAGAGGGTTGACTAGGCTTTGGGAGGCAGTATGTAACTTGATGAGTTTTTGATTTTAAATATTTAAGGGATTTTTTTTAAATTTATTTTTAAAATCTATAAAAATTGTCGCCTTTTAAGGAATCTTTTTGTTTTTTTCTTATCAATGATATCTTTTCTTATTCTTATCGTATCTAAATAATATTATAAGTTATCTATTTTATCAAAAACAAACCTATTATCCTTTAAGACTTATTTTTAATAGATTTTAAGCATTTTCTTTACGATCAAATATTATTTAAAATATTTAAAAAACACTCTTGAAACTTCTAACATAGAAATTTAATAAAATAGTTAAAAATATATAAATTTTAATTTAAATTTCAGTTACTTTTATTCGAAAGGGTATCTAAAGACCAACTCTATAAGCCCGGTGATATTTTCTTGTCGCTCTGCGCCTTTTACGTTTGCCCATTCAGTTCGCATCAACACGCCGTTTTGTGTTCGGCCCAGCCCCAAACCTCAACCTCACTTTATATCCCCAACATATCCACCACAATACCGACATATAGATACACGTGTGTGCCTAAGTATGTAAGAGCATAAAAAAAAAAAGAAAAACCCAACCTCAACCTCAACTTTTGCCTCAACTTCAACTTCAACTGCAGTGCAATCTGAAGTCCGAGTCGAATCCATGACTTCGTGATCGCAGTGGCTTGGTGGGGCTCCTCATTGATTGGACTTTTATTTTTATTTTCACAGAGGCACTGAGAGAAAATTATCACTAAAACACAGCCACAACTAAGGGGATAAAATAGAATAAGTATTTAATAATCTCATATTTTTAATTAAATTTAAAAAACCTTTATTTATTTTATAGAATATTTTTTTTCAGTGCCAGCAGTTAGCATAGCTGCCTGTGCTTATGATGTCGATTTTCCTGCCATATCTCTCAGCGTTTTTTGCTCAGTTTTGTCTCGAAATGCGGAGAGCGAAGAACTTGTTACAATTAATTAACTGATGCATCAATTAAATATTTATTCGCTCCCTTTCTCCAAAGCGGCGCCTTCGAATCCCTGAGGATTCAAACCACAGCGAATCGAATCGAATCGAAATGGATCGCAAGATTATAATCCCCGGATCGATAAAAACTCAATTAATGGCCAACAGCTGGTCGAGGACCACCAAAATGTCAGGTAGTAATGCCCAACAATATGGTATATACGAGTGTATAGAGTATTCCCATCACAAGAAGAAGGTGTCGGTTAGAGATCGTGTGGCTTTCTTGAGGTACTTGGACCCATCAATTTTTCAACTTTACGATCGAACTGCATTCAAAGTGCATTCGGCGCACAAGAAAAGTCAATTTAATTATCACAATCAGTATTAATATTTTATGCCAAGGAAGTTGTAAACTACTTTAGTTCATTTCCCTAAACTAAGTACCAAGACTAAGCCTAAGTACGATTAAGCTAGGTATAACATCTTGTTTCGTAATCAAATGATAACTTTCTAGCTAAAGATATTTTAATTTGACAAGTTGTTTTGTTTTTTTTTTTTTTTGTCGTAAAATGTAATTACACCCTGAGAAAATCAAGTCAGGGGTCTGGGTAATTGTGAAATCTTCATCTAACCCCGAAAATAAGAAAAAAAAAATCAAGACACTGAGTACTTTGTATTTTATGTGATTTGTTTGAAAGTCAGTCAGTCGGAGAGATGCGAGGAGCGAAGCAACCAAAACCAAAACAAATAGAATAAAGTTCTCACAATTAAAATGGGCTTAAATTAAAAAGCACTTTAACAGCTTCACACTGAAAGTTGTTGGTTTGGAAGTGTAAGGGACAGGGGCGGGCTGGCTTTTGGGTTAAGGTTTCTGGAGTGGTAACTGGAGTGAACGTGCCCCACAAGCAAATGACTTATAATTGATATTCCGAAAACGGATAGGCATCTGAATTTGATACCAAAAATGTTAAATCAACTTGACTGATAGACTTTTCTGCATCTGGAGCTCCACCACCTCTTGATTCATCATCATTATCATCATCATTATAATGAAAATGGCCAAAGAAGTTAACTGTGACTGCCACTTGGCCAACTGCAACGGTTTCTCTCACAAAATTCCTAATTGGCGATGGTCACGTGATGGGGCGAAAAGTTTGTCGGTTATTTTTGGGTTCTTTGATTCAAAACCGAGTGACTTTTAAGTCGCATGTTAATGATGGCGGACGTGTGTGTCACGTTCGAGTGTCAATTTCACCAAAACTTTTGCGGCCAATGAACTTTATTTAATAAGGGTTATCTTAAGCTTTGTTAGATTCTTTATATGTAGATCCTTTTCAGGCAAGTTGGAAGAATATTTTTCAAAGTCTGAACATCTCTCTGAGCCTCAAGATCTAAACAATCGATTCTCCTTGACACGCTACCATCACTAACTATCGATCTACAAGTTTATTAAATTTTTTTTTATAATTTTTGATTTTTGTTTTCTTTTTTTTAGCCTTTACTTTATAAGAAGAGTTTTAAATTATTAAAGAAACATATCTTAACCTCTCTAGAACCTCTAGATCTATACAGTCGATCGACCCGTGTCACGCGTGTTTCGCTCTACCATCACCAACTATCGAGTTTTCTCAAATTTGTAGTTATTTTGGATTTCAGTTTCTTTAAGACTCTATTTTTTTTTGTGTTGCGTTTTTCGAGGCCCAGTTGGTAGAAGAAATGCTACCGTGTGCCAAGAT